CCCCCCCCCCCCCTGGGAATGAAGACCTGGACACCGATGTGGCCTCCCCACTCTGGGTGTGCTCCCCACGGCAGGACGTGCCTCCTCCCAGGGGAGACAGCCCCTGTGCGGTCAGACTTTCGGGTGGCAGATACCGCTCTGTCCGGAAACTATTGCTTTGCTCTGGCCGCAGCAGCACAGCCACGGGGGGTGGGAGTTTAACTCCTCCGTCTACAGCAGATGACGACGGGGGCGGGGTGGGGGGGGAGGAGAGGAGGCCTCAGGACAAGCCACGTGTGTCACTTCTGCCTCAGGAGCCACACAGGTCGCGGACTCACCCACAGCATAACTCCGAAGGGAACGGCCTCCCGTGCACCCGTGGAAAAGGAAAGGCTTGGGGGCCCCGCCTCCTCTGTGCCGCTCACCCCAAACCTCTCCTACCCACTTCCTGTGTCCCGCCAGAGTCAGTCCGCCCTGGCTCCTTGGGGACCAGCCCCCTGAACTAGAAGTTTTGACACGCCCCTCCCCCCGGTCCCCGTTCGGTGGGGATGCAGGGGCCAGACAGCTGCAGTACAAACTGCCACCTGGAAGAAGAGCGAGACGCGCAGAAGCCACCGTGCTGCCAGTGACGAGATACTCTGCTGGGCAGGTGGGCAGGTACCATGAAGCCGGCCTGCCCCCCACAGTGGGGGGAGGGGGGGTGGGGAGACCGGTTGCTGCCGCCCCTCCTCCCCTCTGAGCCCAGTCCTCCCTGGTCACACCACTAGTGGGGGGAGGGGGCGCATCTTCCCTGGGAGCTGGGCAACTTGACTGAGTACTTCCCGCCTGGTGCAGGTCTGGGGTCAGCCCCGGACGTCTTTCCTTTTCCGGGCTCATGATTCCTCTGGGAACGATTCCCTCGAACCCTTAGCAGACTACTCCCCTATCTGTGCCCGTGATCATAGTTCTTTGCCAGAACTTGCCAGCCTGTTCTGTTTTCTTGCCCGTGCCTATCTCTGCCCCCACCCCCTGGCTTAACGGCGGCCACTTGAGTCTGATATTAGCCACAGCCGGGTCAAGGTGTTTAACGAGCCTGCATGGCTCAAAGTGATCCTCCTCCTCCTCTCGTGCTGGGGGTCGCACAGAAGCAGTTCCCTTTTGGAACCTAGGAAGCCCGGGATTTCTGACCCCTGGTTCTCAACGTTTTCCGCTGAGCATCTTCCTCGTGATGACCTCGCTGTAAGCGGCAAAGGGCAGCGGGCACACGCTATATTCTCTCTTCGGCTGCTTCCCCTAGACCAGATGCAGCACCCCAGTGGCTCCAAACGCTGCAAACGGTAAGCAAAGCCCCAAAAGCGGCCCTCGCGCCTCCCAGTCGCCGGCAAGGTGTTCCTTGCCACCTCACTGCCAGGCTGCCGCCATGCAATTGAGGGTTTTTTTCACAGCGGATTCCCCTTTCAAGCGTTTTAGTTTTGTGGGTGATGGGGGTGCAGGGGAGGGTGGGGTTTTTTTAAGTTTAGAGTTAGGCTAATGTTCCCGTAGGAAATTCTTCCCCATTCGGCTGTGCAAAAAAAAAAAAGATAATGATGGCAAGTTCTCTGGGGTTTGGAAAGACCTAAAGGCAAATCGTTCAGTGAACTTAGGAAAGGAAGTTGACAGAAAAAAAGGAAAGAAGTTTGGGAGAGAACCAGCCGGGCAGCATGCATTCTAGAATCCTCGAGGGGCCAAAATTCCTAACTGCTTCCCTTAGAATGACACAGATCTTAATGGAAACTTTCATAGTCAAGCCGCAGAAGTCGGAGCACTCAATGAAAGCTCGTTGTTGTGTGTGTGTGTGTGTGTGTGTGTGTGTTTTCCCTGTCACCAAAACCTGGTCCTCCCCCCAGGTTTTGGAATTCTCTAGTACCGCACCACTTAACTATATGGTGATGTCCTCCCTCAGTCATGGCCCCAGGACAGAACATTGACTTCCCTCCTTCCTGCTAGGTTCTTTGGCTGGTCTCATCATTAAATTGACACAAGACAGATGAACAGGAGAAAAAATAGTAGTAAATGTAATTTCTTGCAGGAGCCCCTAGAAATAAGACACTCAGAGGAGTGCCCACGGCAGGCAGCATTCGTGCATTCTAGACAACCAACACATCTGTGAAGAATCGAGGGCAAGGGGTTTGGGCGTGGGGCCGCAAATTAGTGGAGAAGCAGCCAGGGTGGTTTCCACAGCCTTCTCGGCCCCGAGTTCCCGCCGGTGATGAGGACGCCTCTCTTTCTCCTGGCACGGGGCGGGAGTACCGTGCGCAAGGGAGAAGGATTTCCTGCTCTCAGGGGGACAAAGGAAGGTCAAAGCGTCCTCCTTGCCCTGGCTGCACTTTAGTTCAAAATGATCAATACGCCACAGTGGCATCTTGGGGGGCGGCCTGCCCTGAACCCCACCTGCTGTTCCCATGCAGAGGACTTGGCCCACAGGCTCTCCTACATCCCTCCCTGTACCCCCTTCCCCGGCTCTGCTCAGCCTTTTTTCCAGTATTGCCTCCCCACCCATCCCACGAACCTCAGACGAGTTTTTCCTCATCACCTCCCCCATGAAATTGTTTTGCTGTCTCTTTTTTTAGGTGAAATTCACATGACATAAAGTGAACCGTTTTTTTTATGTTCATTTTTGAGAAAGAGAGAGAGTCCGAGTGGGGGAGGGGCAGAGAGAGAGAGAGAGAGAGGGAGACGCAGAATCCGAAGCAGGCTCTGAGCTGTCAGCAGAGAGCCCGACGCGGGGCTCGAACTCACAAACAGATCACGACCTGAGCTGAAATGGGATGCATAACCAACTGAGCCACGCGGGCGCCCCTGAAGTGAATCATTTAAAAATGCACAGCTCAGTGGCAGTTAGTACCTTCACAAAGTTGTGCGACCGCCACCTCTGTGTAGATGAAAACACTCTCGCCACCTCAAAGTAAAGCCCTTTACCCCATTAAGCGACCACTCCCCATTCCTCCCTCCCCCAAGCGCCCCATCTACTTCCTGCTCTATGGATTGGCCTGTTCCAAACAGTTCATGAGGATGGGGTCAGGCAGTGCGTGATCTTTGGCGACTGGCTCCTTTCACTTAGCGTTTTCACAGGCCGTCCACTCCATAGCATGAATCAGTGTTCCAGTCCTGCTAAGGCCGAATGATGTTCCGTTGTGTGGCCGCGCCACATTTTGTTTATCCATTCAGCTATTAATGGACCTTTGGGTTGTTTCCACTTTTGGACTCTCGGGAAGAGACCTGCCATGAGCCCTGAATGTGATGTCAAGTCTGCTTATGCACCATATGGACACCTGTGCTTTATACATCCAGAGAGTAACGGCTTTTCATCCTCCCCAACGACCATTTGCCCTTCGGGGACAGTGTCGCCCCACTGTCGTCCCTCTCTGGGAGGTGGCACTGGGAAGAGCTGCTGTCTCCGTCTTCTAGCTGGTCGGCCCCTGATGTCTTGAGTGTCTTCATGGCACCCACCTTTGTGCCAGGAGCTCTGCCCGGAGAAGTGCCGTTTCTGTCACCTGTAACTGCTAACCCGTATATTCTAAGGAACTTTTGGGATCCCTGTTACCCGGTCTTTGCCCTGACTTGCCTCTTCTAAAAATGGGATGGAAACGGGGCGCGTGGCTGGCTCAGTCAGCGGTACATCAGACTCTGGATCCCAGGGCTGTGAGTTCAAGCCCTACCTTGGGCGTGGAGCCTACTTAAAAAAAAAAAGAGATGAAAGAAAGTGCAGTTGTAAGACTTTCTGGGTAATGGCTACCTTTGTATGAAACTACTCCCAGGAGATTAGGAAATTTGAAAGCTAAAGGCCTCTGCTAGACCACTGTTCCTGACATTTTACAAAGAGAAATAATGAGGCCCGTGGAGGGTATAGGTGCCTTCGTCTGGCGGGCGGCTCAGATCAGGTACTCGAGCCTGAGCCTTCGGACTTGACTGCGGAGGTGTTTCTGTTGCCCCCAAATTGCTTCCTCTGAGGGTTTTCTTGTCCTGCAGGGAAACTTGCGAATAACATCATCCCTTACTATTTGGCATTCAAAACCTTGTTAAATTTCTCCCTTGCTAACTGCCGTGGCAACCTCCCTGCCAGCTTCAGCAGTCTCCTATTTCCCTCACATTCACTGTGACAGAGGATGAGAAAGCCTTATTTATACCTCATTGTCTGGGAAATTTGTCCTCTTGAAGTTTAGGGAAATCTTATTCAAAACCTGCAAAGACTTTTTAAATTTTTTTAAATGTTCACTTATTTCTGAAAGAGAGAGAGATAGAGAGACAGAGCATGAGCAGGGGAGGGGCAGAGAGAGAGAGAGGGAGACACAGAATCCAAAGCAGGCTCCGGGCTCTGAGCTGTCAGAGCCTGACGTGGGGCTCGAACCCACAGACCGTGAGATCATGACCTGAGCCAAAGTCGGACGCCTAACTGACTGAGCCACCCAGGCGCCCCAAAACCTGCGAAGACTTTTTATAGGCAGTTGCTTTTTTTCCCCTCTGGCTTTATGGAAGTGTAATTTATTTCTGGAACTTAACTCATCTTGTGTAACCGTAACCTAAAATATGATTTCTCCTCAAGCAGGGGTCGCCGACTTCTCCTGGAAAGGGCCAGAGAGTAAAAGTATTTTTGGCTGAAATTTCAGGCCACACGATTACTCAGGCCTGCCCTTGTAGCAGGAAAACAGCCATAGGCAATAGGTCAATGAGTGCGTGTGGCTTTGTGCCAATAAAACTTTATTGACAAAAACAGGCATGGACTGGGGAAGGACCACAGGCTGTAGGTTACTGACCCTACTGTACAATCCACTTGACTATTTTCTTTAAACGGAAGTCTAAGCAGAAGCAACATCAAAAAGTTGAAAGAGGGGCAGGGCACCTGGCTGGCTTAGTCAGAAGCATGCAACTCTTGATATTGGGGTGGTGAGTTCGAGCCCCATGTTGGGTATAGAGATTACTAAAAAATAAATAAACTTTTTTAAAAAGTTGAAAAGGGGAATAGAAACCCACATACCCTGCACCAAGGTTCAACATTTACTATATTTTCTTTATTTCCCTTCTCTCTATACGTTTTCCCCCCTGACCCACGTGAAAGTGTCTCAGACAACCTGAGACTTCTCCCTAAATTCTTTGGTGCCTCTCTCCTAAGAACGAGGATGCTTTCCTCCCCAACCACAGTGCCGTGCGTACGTAAGAAAGTTAACAGCAAGAAGCACATCCTCAGTATGAGACTGGGTGTTGAGGACCAACCAGTGTTCCCACAGAATCTTACACCATTTGCGATTTCTCTGGAGCACCCTGGGGAGCACCTGGCCCCGTGGGTAGAAGTTGTTCAAGAGAAGCTGTTGAAAATCGCTCACCAGGAAGTCTGTTTGCCCGAGGTGAGCCTGTGGCATCCTGACAACAAGAGACCTGTGGTTTCAGGTAAGCTTCGGCTCTGAGATGTTCCTTGACGAGGGGCATAAAATTCAGCAGAAACAGGGTTTGTTTTTTTTTTTAAAGCGTTTGCTAATTTAGCAGAGATGTGTGGTCCCCCCCTTCTGCCCACAAAGGGATGGGTTGCTTACATCTTCCACTCAAGGCTTAGCGGGAGCCCCCACAATTAGCACTGTCTGCCCAGAAGCTCTGCAGAACTCAAGGTAGCGGAGTTCTCTCATAAAGGCCCATACTCGACCTTGCGACTTTCTTCCTTAATTAGGTACCCTGAAGACCCTCATTCCATTGACTGCATTGGCTCTAAGAACAATGATTTGGGCCCAGGTATAAGAAAATAACCCATCTAGGGGCACCTGGGTGGCTCAGTCAGTTAAGCGTCCAGCTTCCGCTCAGGTCATGATCGCACAGTTTGTGAGTTCGAGCCCCGCATCGGGCTCTGTGCTGACAGCTCGGAGCCTGGAGCCTGCTTCGGATTCTGTGTCTCCCTCTCTCTCTCTCTCTGCCCCTCCCCTGCTCACTCTCTCTTTCTGTCTCTCTCTCTCTCTCTCTCTTAAAAACAGAGAGTTTTATTTTAAGTTAGGGCATTGGGAGTGTGGTGCCTGGATGGCTCAGTTAAGCATCGGACTCTTGATTTCAGCTCGGGTCATGATCTCAAGGTTTGTGAGTTCAAACCCCGTGTCGGGCTCTGTGCTGACAGCTCAGAGCCTGGAGCCTGCTTCGGATTCTGTTTGTCCCTGTCTCTGCCCCTTCCTTGCTCATGCTCTCTCTCTCTGTCTCTCTCTCTCTCTCTCTCTCTCTCAAAAATACATAAACGTTAAAAAAAATTTTTTTTTTTTTTAAGAAAATAACCCATCCAAACTCAGCCTAAGAAGACCCTAATTCCATTGACTGCACTGGCTCTAAGAACAATGATTTGGGCTGAGGTATAAGAAAATAATCCATCCAAGGTTGGTCTGGGGGCTGTGCTTTATTTCTGGGTCTGGTTCTCAGCAATTCCACTTGCAAACACAGAGAACCTAATGGCCTCTCTTCTGAGCCTGCCCATCGTGTGAACGAGCCAGTGATGTGCTGATGCATCGAAACGTTCGCATTCTTGCCTCTTACCCCTCCTGGGCCTTAAGCATCTACCCTTCTTGGCCCACTCAGGATGCTTGGCCGTGGGTAGGGCTCCACCAACAGCCGTTTCCAGTTACATCTTCCACGAGCCCCTGTCTTCAAATGCTTACTTAACCCAACGCCCTCCACTTCTCCCCTCCCAGGCTGGGTGGGAGGGGGTTGTTTTTCTGAGCCCTGGATGACAGAGATGTTCTTCCACAAATGCAGACTTGAAAGCATTCATCTGGAGAGGTCCAGCCCAGAGTCTTGTCAGGACTGGAGATACCACGGGCTGGGGCTCACCCAAGTCCCTTGGTCTAAGCGGATACTGTTCCCGAAACCTCCGGTTTTGCACGCTTGCAGCCGGCTTCTCCGTTAGTGCTTGGCGTGGGCGGCTGGGCACAGGGCCACCGTTCTCCTCCATTTCCGCCAGTCTGTTCATCTGCCTTTAGGGCCTGGACCTCATGATGTGGAAGACACAGTCAGCAGAGGTTTAGAACCAAATGGGACTCTCCTCTCACACCCGGAATAACCTGGTTCAGTGTGGGGGTGATTTAGACTCACAGTGGCCCGAGTTGTGTGCTGCCTTGGCTGTTCAGACCACACGTGGCTCTGAGAAGCAGGGGCTCATTCACCCCAGTCTGGCTGGCATGTTTCATGCCATTGGGCCGTGAAGCCGACTTCCCTTCTGCGGGGGCAACAGGGGCGGGGCGAGACCTCAGTGGGATGTAAAACCGTGAGCTCCCAATGGCAGCATTCACACTTATTCCCATCTGTATCCACAGCGGCTGACACTGTGGCAGGCAAATGCTTCTAGAACGTTAACTGAAGTCCCTTTACCTTCCCACAACAGATACTCTGCCCCAAAAGCACAAACATCCCATACTGTCCAAGCTCACGCTCCTCGGAGCCTGGATTCTGTGCCAGGATAGAATAGAACAAGGCGACCTCTTGTATAAAAGTGCCTACAGGTGTCTGTGAAATTGTGACAAAATGTCAGAGAGTGTAGTTCGGGTGAGTTAGTTGAAGTCCCAGGGGTAGACTCAGGGCATGCCTTATGACCTGTGCCAAAGCATGACTTACTCTTGTGCACATCATCGTTTTGCCTTTCCAGGCGGGGATTAGAAGCTGCCATCCAAAGGCGTTCGGAGGACCACCTGTTGATCTCTTGGTTTCTCAGGATGGTAACTCATGCTCTATGTCTATGGGTGTGTTTTTTATCGTCGGCTAAGATTCCCTCTACGTGTGTCAGGCCTTCCACCTTCCTTTGCTCATAGTTTTCCACTGAAACTGTCGGGGCGTTGTTTACCATCCAGCCTGGTTTCAGCCTCCTCTGGGGGCTGGGGGTGGACACACAGAAGGGCTGATTCCGGGTCTCAGGGGCTCAGGTTGTGACATGTGGAGCTGCCATCCCCAGGTAAGCCACAGAGCAGGGAGGCAGAGGTCTCCTAGCAGTGTTGTGCACGTGGTAACAGAGACAAACAGATGGTTCCGTGGTGAGGGCAGGCCAGGAGATCTGGGGCACCGGCTTTATAGTTTCCTCTGGCCGTGATGGACTCTGCTACGTCACTGTCCAGGCAAGGTACATTCGGCATGAGTCACCCCCATCAGGCAGCGGCCCAAAACCATCAGCAGCACTAACCTTACCATCTCATTAGGCTCCTGGCACCCCGCGACCTGGCAAGGGAAGACTGTGCTGAGCAGGGAGCACCCAGAGAGCCAGAAAGGAGCGAGCCACCACACAAGATGGCCCCGGTGTCCTGCCAGCTGGTCTCACACCCCAGGCTACGCCGTCCCCTCCCGGGAACCGGTGTTCCCATTTGGGAAGGAGAGAGAGGGAGACTGGGAACTTCCCATTTTCCCTCCCTGGGTGACTCAGAAGAAAACCAGATCTGTTCCCAGCTTGTTTTTAACTCCTTCTGTCATTTCTCTGGTGGAGCCTCACAGATCGAAGGCCGGGAGGACTTCGTCGGGCCCCATTCCACCTCCTGACCGTAACTTCTCCCCGCGATCTGCTTCCGGATGCCTCTGCGGGGCCACCCGCTTGCCTGGGTGTGCCATCTCTCTGTCCTCATTTCATTAAAAAAATTCTTCTTAATATTCTTATTTATTTTTGAAGGAGAGAGAGTGCGAGCAGAGGAGGGGCAGAGAGAGAGGGAGACGCAGAATCCGAAGCAGGCTCCAGGCTCCGAGCCGCCAGCACAGAGCCCGACAGGTGGCTCGAACCCGGGAACAGTGAGATCATGACCTGAGTCGAACGACTGAGCCACCTGGGGGCCCCCCCTGTATCCTCATTTCATTTTAGAGGAAGACACTGCCACCCCTTGGTGCCCCAGTGACACATGGGGTTCAGGAGGCCCTACTGCGAGGCTTTGGCCGCTCATTGCTGCGTCTGTTTGCGTGGATTTGGAACACACCTGGGCTGTCAGCACAGAACCCGACGCGGGGCTCGAACCCGCGAACCGTGAGATCATGACCTGAGCCAAAGTCGGACGCTCAACCCACGGAGCCACCCTGAAAAAATCCTTTGAGAAGGAAAAAGGAAGAAGCCATCCATTCCATGAGATGCCCCCACACCTTTCCAGACACATAGACTCGAGTGATGGGTCACGTCTATTGTGTTCTCCTTTTGCACGTGTCATCTTCCCAGAGGGCAGGCAGTCCTCCGAATTGTCAATAATGACGGGTAGCACGGCAAGGCCCAGATTGACAAATGTCTTCTGTAAAGGAAGGGCCGGATAGTAAATAATACAGGCTTTGCAGGCGTGATGGTCTCTGTTGCAACTGCTCAGCTCTGCTGTGGTACGAGGGAAACAGCCAGAGACCTAAACAAACGGGCATGGCCGTGTTCCAATAAAACTTTATTTGCAAAACCAGGGGTCAGCCATGCTTTGTCGACACCTGTAATAATGCATGCTTAGTCAGTGGGACCGCCTCCAGTCCCTTCTGTCCCCAGATTATCTTCATGTGCTTAGCACAATGCCGAGGGGGTACGAGGCACTCAGGAGATAGTTGGCGGTTGGTGAAAAGTACGTCACATGAAGCCAGGGATCTAGCAGGACCCCAGGGACAGCTTACTCCATCTTGGTTGCTGTTCGATAGCTAGTTCTTCATTCTTACAAAAAGAACCCAAACTTTGTTCTGGCAGCAATGTACCTAGCTCCCCCAGTTAGATATGAACTACCTACAAGCGGTGAAAGCCAAGTATGGTTAACCCAGTTTGTCAGCGATTGGTCTGGGAGAGGGTGTGGGACTCAGCCTGACACGCAATGCATCTGCACAGAGATATTGGTAAGATTTCGCTCCCTGATGAGAGGAGAAGCCTTTCCTTTCTGCCTCTCCTCCCATCCTGATCCGAATACCTATATTTTGGGAGGATGTGATGTCTGGAGCTGCTGCAGCCACGTTACAGCCACGAGGGGAGAGCCCAAAGGATTGCAGAAATGCCAGCCCGGGGCCGCAACTTTGCTCAGCTTCTGTACCAACCCTGGAAATGCTCATCTCCAGCTTCTTCATAGGAGAGATAATATCTGTCTGTGATGTTTACACCAAGCAAGTATTCTTTACTTAGAGCCTTAACAGGTCCTAAATAACCGAAATAACGCATCATTCTTATATAAATAAATGCTCATTGGTACAAAGAGAAGGCAGCTTAATATGTTTCCTCCTACTGTGGCTACACAGTCTTGAATGTCTCTCTGTTCACTTTCCAACCAAATGTGCAGAATCCCTGAGGAGAAGTTCCCTGTAGATACCAGGGAGACAGGGGCCTGAGGCGCCCCAGCTGGGGAGAGCCATCTGTCTCCTCATGTCAGTCTTAGAGAAGCCCAACTCACGTAATCCCTCTGCGTTTCGATCCAAGAACTAGCTGAACAAAGTATGGCGCGAGCCATGGGGGAGGTGGCAGAACATCCTCCCACAAGAACAGCCAGGGAAGAAAACTCCAGGCCTCTCTTCTGAGGGAACTGGAGCAGGCGTGGGAATGTCCACCTCCTCATCGGGACGGCGGCCGCACCCCAAGAGCAGGAGTCCCTAATCTGACAGCCCACATTTGAAAAGTCACCAGGCGACCTTCAAAGGGACTCTTGCCTCGGACGATGAGCTGGTGGTTAGGTCTCCCGGGGTTCTCCGCGGCAGGCACTCGGCCAGGTGGCCACTCAGGCCCCGTGTCCCCGGCTCCTCAGCCGCCCCTGTGTGCGGCTGGTCTGCTCGGCGCCCCCGTCCTGCCCTGGGGCTGACACTTCCCACCAGGCCAGCATCTCTGCTCTGCCTTTGCGTTCGCTAGGCATTCCGCGGACAGGAAGGAATCCCACGTCCCCGCAAGCCGAGGCTGGGGGAACAGCGCAGATAAGGTGGCCTCACTGTCTTCGGTCACTAGGCACCGTCACCTCCCTCACCTTCCTGGAGAAAGACCCTGAGACCAGGGGCTTCGGGCGTGGCCACTTGTGGGCAGTACGTAAGTATTGCCCTCATAGCCAGCCCTTGATCGTTCATAGTAAATGGGGGGCGCCTGGCTGGCTCAGTCCGTAGAGCACGCGACTTGATCTCACGATCATGAGTTCAAGCCCCGTGATGGGCTTCGAGCTTACTTCAAAACAAAACAAAACAAAACCACCACCTGGCCTCTCTGGGTACGTTGTGTGGACCTAGCACCCTGGGTTTCAAAGTCTGGTCCCTGGGCCAGCTTCATCAGCATCTCCTGGGAACTTGTTAGAAATACAGGCTCTGGGGTGCCTGGCTGGCTCATTCAGAAGAGTGTGCAACTCTTGATCTCAGGGTTGTGAGTTCGAGCCCCACGCTGGGTGTAGAGATTGCTTAAAAATAAAATCTTGAAAAAAAAGAGAAGAGAAGAGAAAAAAGAAACGAAACACGGGCTCTTGGGCACCAGACCCACTGGATCAGGAACTCTGGGGCTGGAGCCCAAGATCTGTTTGCGAACAAGCCGCCCCCCAAGGGCTTGTGATGCACACTCAAGTTTGGGAACTGCTGAACAGTGAGCTCTTACGCACAAATGGTATGAAAGCTGGGAAGCACTCTTTGTCAACTTGCTGTCTTGAAAGCCTTTTGTGAAAGGGGATTCGGGACCTCTGTGCTGTTTTTTTCCAATTAATATTCTATTTCTTACAAACACAAATTCAAAACACAGTTCTTCCCTAAGATTTTGTGTTGAATTCATGAATCCATTTTGTTTATAAAATTGACTGCATTTTACAATCACTTCTTTTAAAAAAAATTTAATTCCCCTTAAATACTTTAAGTGCACTCATGAATTTAATATATTTGATTTCTTCTTAAGCACTTTTCAAAACCTTCCAAGTACTTCATGAATTAAAAAAAAAATTTTTTTTTTTTAATTTTAGAGAGAGAAATAGAGCACAAAGTCGGGGAGAGGGGCAGAGGGAGAGAGAGCGAATCCCAAGCAGGGCTCAATCCCACGACCCCGAGATCATGACCTGAGCTGGAACCAAGAGTCAGATGCTCAACTGACTTAGCCACCCAGATGGCCCTCATGAATTCTTATACTTCCACTAAGTTGAACTTTTGAATGTGGCAAATCTCCGTTCTCTTCAACAGTAACATCCTCTCTGCAAACTTACAACTTTCAAATTAAAAATCTGCCCGATACAATGTGAATGTGCTTCACACCACCGAAACGTGCGCTTAAAAGTGGTTAAGGGGGCGCCTGGGTGGCTCAGTCGGTTGGGCAGCCGACTTCGGCTCAGGTCAAGATGTCGCGGTCCGTGAGTTCGAGCCCCGCGTCGCTCTCTGTGCTGACGGCTCAGAGCCTGGAGCCTGTTTCAGATTCTGTGTCTCCCTCTCTCTGACCCTCCCCCGTTCATGCTCTGTCTCTCTCTGTCTCAAAAATAAATAAACGTTAAAAAAAAAAATTTAAAAAAAAAAGTGGTTAAGAAGGTCAGTTTTGTGTCCATGTGTATTTCGCCACATTTAGGAAAGATCTGGCCATACCGACGACTCTGTACCTTTAAAATGGGAACCACAAAGCCTTCCTGTTTGAGGATGCCAAATTCTCTTCCATGTGTTAAGCACTGAAAATACAAAATATACATAGGTTGCTTTCCATTATAAGATAGGATGAAAATAAAGACCAAGAACTTATGGCTTTGCTTTAGTTTTTCATCTCCGTACTAAATAGTACAACCCGTCTGGGGAGTAAAGTCCTAAGAAAAGCGCCGTGCAATCCCAAGCAAGTTGATGCTCCCGGGAAGTACAGAAGTCTGCAAACTGCTCTTTGGCCAGGAGGAAGGAATTGATTTTTCCAGGGACCTCAGCCGAATCTTAATTGTAGTCACTATGCCAATGGAAGATTCCGGGTCCCCTTCACTCTCCATGTGGGGCTGTGGTCTCAAAGCCTAGATTCCCTGGGTCCGATGGCAGATACCCTAATTGACCCCCCCCACCCTGATTCTCCAGCCCCCGTTTTTTCTTCAGAGCTGCCGAACTGTGCCGTCTGCACGGCTTCCTCCTGCACTGAATTCTTCGCACCTGCCAGGGTCACGACTCCTGCTGAGAACTTTCATCGCACCCTGCTGATGCTGCACCCAGGGGCCCTGATGATTGCGCACCCCAGGCTCCTCCTGGCTCTTACTCCTGTAGATTTCCAGAGAAGGAAGTGCGTGGTGGGAGTCAGGGACAGCAGAGAAGGATTTTCCAGAAAGGAGAACTGACAACCAGTCTTTGGAGAATGAGCCTCCAAGAGAAGCAAAGCTCGAGAGGTGAGGGGAACTCATTCGAGTCTGATAAGTGAAACAGCAGCTGGCCACACTGTTTCGTGGCCCACACCTCGTGAGCAGCCTTCATCCCTGCTGAGCCCCCCTCTTCCATCGTCTGGTGGTAGCACGGGACTGGTAAGCCTCGAATGTGCAGAGCAAGGGCTCAGTGAGCCGGCCAGCCTGGAGGGGGCTGGGGAAGGGGCTGCTCCCCTCCCCATGGGTCCTGTCACTCTGCTCTATGCCCGACTCCCTCCTGCCGCCAGCAAGAGGCACTGGCCTTTGCCGTGAATTCTACCCCGTGCGGTGCTCCATCACAAACATGGAAAAATGTGGGAAACGCCTAAAGTCTCCAGATGGTGTTTCACCACGCAAAGTGAGCTAGTACGTAATGCCCCGGGGAGGGAGGGGGGTGGTGAGGGGAGGCAGCTGGGGAAGCAGCCTTGCTCCGATCCTCCTGGGCACCTGCTCCCTGGCGAGGACAACGGCAGAACCTTCTTGTCCATCGAGGGAGATATTTACGCACACAATCGACCGATGCAAGTCGCCCGGGATCGGTGCCCAGGGCTCTAGGGACGTGTGGAGGAAGACGGGAACGTTCCAACCTTGGCGCGTCTTGGAGGTCAGTTGGTCTTGCGGGAGGGCGGGGGTGGGGGGTGTCTGCTCTATCCAGGACGCTGAAGAGGGCGCCCCCCCCTTTCAAAGTCCTCATGTTCCTCTGCAGAGTGGATGCTATTATTATAAACCCAGTCTATAGGTGGAGAAACTGAGGCTCAGCGAGGGGCACTGAGTTGCCCAAGGTCTCAAGGGAAAAGAAACAGACGGTGGAGAGGGATGGCTCCCTCAGGTTCGGAGAGATGTGGAGTCCCCCCACCCCACCCCACCCCCACACCCTAGACTTGGTTCTGATTCCTCCTCATGCCCTAGGGGGCAACAGCACTTCATAATTGTGTGCTTCTGGTGGCAGAGACCCAGGTTCAAATTCGACTTCTGATACTAATTGAGCAAGTGTGGGCAAGTCGTTTAACCTGCAGGCCGGGGTCTCTGTTTCCTGTGGGTGAACAGAGAGAACAGTCCCTCCTCCGAAAGCACTTTCTCGTTCACCCCAGGAGCAACACGGGCCCTCAGAGAGCTCCCCTGTGCCACTCCAAGCGCGCTGTGTGTGTGTGTGCCGTGTTTTGGTTCCTGTCGCCTGCACAACAGCCCGTGTCCTGGTTTCACAGATGCAGACACGGAGGCAAAGAGCAGCAAAGTGGCTTCTCGAGATCACCTGACCTGTGAGGGGCGGGGTCCGGATTTGAACCCGGGTCCTCCGCCCGACCAGAACTGCCTCCGACATCCCTCAGCGCTTACTTAGCGCCCAGCACCGTACACGACCCACTCCCTGGGTAGCTGCTGGTACTGATGAGGTCTGGTTCCAGGAGGGCTGCTTGGAAGTGGAAGCCAGCCTTCCGGGTAGAGGAACAGTATTTACAAGGTTCACCGGGGAGGGAGCAGGTGCCCCAGCTTCCAGATTCTCTGAACATCCTGCATAAAAGAAGCAAGTGCTTAAGCCGGTGGCACACTACAAGTTTCTAAGTTATTTATAAAGAGCCTGAAGTCTAGAAACTTCTAACAGGCGGAGGTGTGTTCTCCAGACTAAGAATAGCTGACGGGAGAGGCTTTCTGGTGACATCAGAGCACAGCAGCAGCTTGGGGGCGGGGCCGTGGTTTCCTCCAGCTTTGCAGCATCTGCCCAGGAGGGCTCCACCGTCCCTCCAGAGAGGGCCTGACGAAGGGACAGGAAGGGGTCTGGTGATCCCGGGACAAGCGGGGTTTCCATCGGTCTGCGAGTTCCTTTCCTTTTTTTAAAATTTTTAATGTTTATTTATTAGAGAGAGAGAGAGAGAGACACAGGGAATGAGTGGGGGAGGGGCAGAGAGAGAGGGAGACACAGAATCGGAAGCAGGCTCCAGGCTCCGAGCTGTCAGCACAGAGCCCCACGCGGGGCTTGAACCCACAAACCGTGAGATCATGTCCTGAGCCAAAGTCACACACTTAACCCACTGAGCCACCCAGGCGCCCCAGTCTGCGGGTTCCTAATGTGTCACTTCTCCCCTTCCTCACCATCCTACTGTTTGACCATCCTGCTGTTGGAGAAGTCAGCAGGGAGGGCACAGGGCAGGTCCTGGGATTTGGAACATAGGTGCCTTCATCCTGCTCACCCCTGCCTCTCCATCCCTCAGTGGGGGGGCTTCTAACAGGAGCAGACCCCAGTCCCCCACCCCTGCCCAGCACACCAGACACTTCTCAATGCACACTGAGTTTGGAACTTGCTCAGAGCGCCAGCAGGGTGACCCCTGACTTTTTCTGAAGTCAAAATAAATTCTGGGGCTAGAGTACAGAGATGAAGTCCTCCCAAGGCTAAATTGTGGTGCCCGCCCCCGCCAGGAGCTGTGAGCTCCTACTGGAGGCTTCCGAGGAGTTGGGAGGGCTAGGGGGAGAGAAAGGAGGAGGGAACAGTTTAAACAAAACTCAAAACACTGTTTCAAATGATGTCTTGCTGTTTTCAGGCTCTGCCCGTTTGAGTTGATTCGTTATCCGCAAAGCTCTGTGCACCATACTTGATGGCCCCTGGGGGATCTTCCAGGCTATTGGGGCTGCACGTGAGGATTCTGACCTTGCACCCTGGCTCCACACAATCTAGCCCCCAAACCTCAATTTCCCCCTTTCACCGGTGTGGTTCTGCCTTCAAACATTCAGTTGGGGCTACAGAAATCATCTTTTTTTGTTTAATATGAATTGTTTTAAGTTTATTCATTTATTTTTGAGACACACACACACACACACACACACACACACGACACAAATGGGGGAGGGACAGAGAGAGAGGGAGAGAGAATCCCCAGCAGGTTCCCACCATCAGCACAGAGCCGGATGCAGGGCTCAAATTCAAACCGTGAGATCACGACCTGAGCCGAAATCAAGAGTTAGTTATGACACTTAACCGACCGAGCCACCCGGGTGCCCCGACAAATCATCTTTAAAACTCGTGACACCTGACTTTCAGAGAGCCCAAAGCCTTCAGCTACACATTTTGCCTTCAAGGAAGGATAAAGGCAGATTTTCTTTCTTTTGTTTCTTTCTTCTTCTTCTTCATTTTTTTTTTAGCAAAGGACACACTGAAGCCAGAGAAGAGAAGCTACTTACCCAAGGTCGCACTGACAGCCTCCCCCAGATTACTCATGCTCCCTTTACCAGGATTGTCCCTACCGCCCGAGGACCCACATGTACCCTGAGTGGAAAGACAGGAGGCCACCTGTGGGGCGTCCCTGGTGCCCTGGCCACGCGCCCTCGAGGCTGATAGGCCACTGGAGTCTCTGGGACATGGGGTTAATGAGCCACATCTTTCAGCACAGCTGGCGAGCAGCTGGTCCAAGGTCACACTACCAGAACTCACCAAGAGAATACTGATAACGTGTGCACCCGTGCTACTGGGTGGCGGAGGAATGCCACCGCCACGTTGACACGATTTGTGACTCTCCGCCCTGGCGGCCTCTTCAAAGCCACCAACCCCGGAGCCCCCACCCCCAGAGTTTCTGATTCCTTGCGCCCAGGACGCAGCCTGCCCCTGTTTGCTTTAGGAGAGCTCCAGGCGAGCCTAACTTGCAGCTTGGGGTGGAGACAGCGTTTCTCAAACTCTCCTGTGTATTGGAATCATCTGGGAGGTTAAAATACGGCCCTCCCCCACCCCAGCCTGATTTAATTGGGGCCGGGGGTGTGGCCTGGGCATTAGGGTCTTGAAATGCTCCCCCAGGTGATTCAAACGTGTAGCCCGGTTGGAGAACACGGTTCTGGTTCATTCTGCATCCGGACTTTTGGCCCCACCCCTGATCCCCTACAGACAGGGCTGCCCTGCCCTTGCAGAGTCCTCCCGAAAGAGACTTCGGTCCCGTGTTGCTGCTCATATATAGATAAGCATCTCCAGAAAACTCTGTTCTCGGCTTCTGAATGTCAAGAAGAAGTCAATCTGAAGCAGTAAGTCTTCTGGCTGCCCCTCCCTGAACAGGAAATAAACACTCAGCATGAGTGGCATGAAAACGTGCCCCATTCTACTGTGCTTTGTGGGCAGAGACAGAGGCAAGGGGGCCTTTGCTGTAAGCCAACCGCCAGGCCTCACCACTCATCTCTGCGGGGTGCGGGGTGGGGGCGGGGAGGTGCTGGTTCATCAGCCCTCAAGTGCACACTGCAGGATCTGAGCCCATCAAGGGCTGTCTCCCTTGTGCCCTTGAATCATGCCCTGGCCTGACTGAGGTCCCCAGGGAGGGATGCCTCCTTCTGGATGCCCCGGCTCCCGGGACCCTTCCCAACACGCACACTCCGTTCCTGTTGACCCGCAAGCCCACGGGGACCCACCGCAGTGCTCGATTCGTTGCTGTCTGCACCAGCCTCCCTCTCCCCGGAAATCCACAGGCCCTCTCTTCACCCTGTGACATTTGGTGTCTGGGCTTGGGGCCCAGGCTTGACAAAATCCAGGAGGCATGGCCTCTTTGGCCCTTCCTATCTTACTCCCTCCTTCTGTGGGGCTTAGCCTGGCCCCAGGGGATGAGCCCCAGCGTCCTCCTCATCACAAGCTGCACACAGCTTCTTCCCTCTGCACAGTCCCCTCAGTGCACACGTGCCAGCTGGTGCAGGGAGCCTGCCCTCTGCCAACCCCCACCTAGAGGCAGCCAGGACAGGCAGCTGGTTGGCCCCGAGCTGGCCCAGAGACCTGCCCGAGGCGGAGCACCCTCCATGCGCCAGCATGCTGTGAGCACTTCGTGTGAAGTCTCAGGTACCCATTTCACAGATGGGGACCAACGATTCCCCAGGCAAGTCGTGGCCTGAGGCCGAAAACAAGATTTGAACCATATCTCCGACCCCACCCCAACCTCTGCAGCAGAGGCTCCCAAATTTGAGAGTACGTAAAAATCAGCCCAGTAGGTCCCAGGAGCCTGCACCTCTGTACAAGAATGCAGGAGACCCTGACATAAATGGCCCGGGGACCAGCCCTCCCCTCACCCTGCTCTGAGTCTCAGGGCCTCTTCTGGGCCCAGCCAGGGTTGTCCTTGCTGCATGACCTTGACCTCTCTGAGCTTCCTGTCCTGGGAAGATGAGAGCACTGAGCTAACCAACTGCAGAGAGCTTTTCAGTTCTGCTTCGAGCCCTCCGGCTTGGCTCCCATCCAGCGTGACGTCGGGAAGAGAGAGGGGGCTCTCTTTCGGGCTTTCTCCCGGCAGGCCCCTCTGCCAGGTCAAAACGCCGAACCCTGCCCAGGATTTGCACCTGCCTCCACACCCAGTGGGACTGAGAAGCCTCCAGGCCACGTCCCTTCCCCACCCACCCACCCCCTGGAGTCTCAGGCACAGAGGAAGCCTCCCCAGCATAAAGGACCTCCTGCCTTTCCCTCACACTCACATCCTTCATTTTCATGAGGCAGGAGAGCCGGACCTGGTTCCCATCTCTGCTCTCCGCAGCCAGCCCCAGGAGAGGTCTAAGAGACAGCCCAGAGCGGACATCTGGGAAGGGCGCCCGGTCAGCTGGAGCAGGCCCTGAGCTCTGCTGAGTCAACACGGGGAGTGGGAGGCCCTGGGCCCACCTCCGCGCCCGCCCGCGCCCTCCGCCGCCAGCTGCCCTAATGGTAGGTGCCTGCTGCGTCCTCTCCCAAGGAAGCCCCAAATTATTGACTGTGCCGATTCCGAACCCCAACGTGTATTTATCATCCTGCCTTCCAGGCGCTCAGCTGGGGTCTTGCTTGAACAGGCAAGCCGTCCTGGAGGGAAGGGGAGGAGGGAGGGAGAGAGGGCGGTGGGAGGTGGCCAGGTGCTAAGACGGAGCGGGTGGCAGGATCCCAGCCCGTGTCCTGCCCTGCCGGTCAGCTCGTGGTCCCCCAGATGGCTGCCCTGCCACCTACCAGCACACTGGAGGTGGGGACCTGCCTGAGGGCCAGGCAGCCGAGGGGACAGTCAGTCATAGTAGAAGGTGTACCAGAGCCCAGTTTTCTTCACTGTCCGTACCTGTTTGCAGCCACAGAGGTGGGCTTTTGGGAAGGGTCTCTCTCCCTGCACCCGAATGTGGAGTCTGTTCCCACAGGGGCCCGGGGACAGTGAGGATGTGAGAAGCCAGTGTCTCCGTCCCCAGCGCAGTCTTGGGCCCCAGCCCGCACACCTTTCCTGAAAGGATTTGGGTAAGTGCCTGAAGGGGTCTCGTGGGAGCACAGTCATGTCTGCATCCTGCCCCCGACATTTGGGGACAGTGCAAGGCCTCGTGTGTGGTCCCCAGGTGACCTGCATCAGAAACAGCTGGGGCCCTCGTTAAAAATGCAGATTCCTGGGGCGCCTGGGTGGCGCAGTCGGTTAAGCGTCCGACTTCAGCCAGGTCACGATCTCGCGGTCCGTGAGTTCGAGCCCCGCGTCGGGCTCTGGGCTGATGGCTCAGAGCCTGGAGCCTGTTTCCGATTCTGTGTCTCCCTCTCTCTCTCTGCCCCTCCCCCGTTCATGCTCTGTCTCTCTCTGTCCCAAAAATAAATAAACGTTGAAAAAAAAAAATTAAAAAAAATGCAGATTCCTGGGCCACGCCCTTTATGTAACGCTGAGGCACAAAACCATTTAAGAACCACCCATGTGGCGGCCAAGAGCTTGGACTCTGCAAGCCCTGAGTTCCTCGTGCTTATAATGGGGACGGAGAGGAGTGAGGAATGCAGATCCCACGTGTTGTCATAGGATCCAGAGGTAAATACAGTAAAGTGCTTAGCCCTCGGTGAAGGGCATCGCCTGGGTCATTACTCAGTAACGCAGTGAAATTATGGCCAACTGATTCAGCAGAGGGAGGAAGTGGATTTTCCATCTTCTTCCCTCTTTTGCCAGCTCTGTCACCCGGCTGGCAGGTCACAGAAGAGTCTCAGTGGGGACCCCAGCAAGACGAGTCACTGGTTCACGGGCCAGCGTCTCGGACCCACCGGGGCCTCGCTTACAGAGCACGTGAACCTGAGCATGCGATTTGAGCACTATGAGCCTCAGTTTCCACATCTACAAAATGGGAATGCTAGGTTGCCAACCCCCCCGTCATTCGGCTGCAGTGGCTGAGCGAGACACTTTAAGGAAAGCCATGCCGTTACTCAAGTGTTCCTCGATGGATGGGTGAAGAAAGAAAATGCGGTATACCCGCACAACGCTGTATTCCCCGGCAACTCAAAGGAGTGCCATGCTGCGCCCCCTGCCACAAAGCGACGACCCTTGAGACCATCCCGCTAAGTGAAAGAAGCCAGACACAGAGGGTCACGTATTACAGACTCCATTTACATGAAATGTCCAGAAGAGGCAAATCCATAGAGACGGGAAAGTAATTAGTGGTCGTCAGGGGTCAGAGAGAATGGGTGACCGAGGGGGGATAGGTTAAGGGTGTGGGGTTTCTTGGGGGGACGGTGCCAATGTTCTAAAATTGATTATACTGATGGTTGCCCAACTCTTTGGAGATACCGAAAACCGCTGAATTGTATGCTCTAAACGGGGAGTTGTCTGGTAGGTGGATGACATCTCGATATAGCCAGTACCGAAAATAAAAGGCCATCGGTATCAGAATCACCTGGAGTTCTCATTTCCCATGCATTCCTCGGCCTGCTGAGTCTGGGCCTGTGCAGGGGGCCCAGGAATCTGAGTTTCAGCAAGAACACCAGGTGATGTGCATGCACACAGAATCTAAAGAGCCATCCCCCTGGGAAGACAGTCTGGTCAACGCTGGTTTCCTCGGCACTGGGGTATTTGCAGGTGCAAACCCACGCTCCGGTAATTTCCTAAGGCTGTTGTAACAGATGACCCCAAACTTGACGGCTGGCAGCAACACAAATGTCTTGACCCACAGTTCTGGAGGTCAGAAGTCGGGAACGGGCCTCACTGGGCTGCCATTGCCGTCAGCAGGGCTGTGTTCCTTTCTGGAGCCTCTGGGGAAGGATCTGTTTCCTTGCATTCTCCAGCTTCCGGAGGCCGCCTGCACCCCTCTGCTTGCGGACCCTTCCTCCGATCCAAAGCTAGCGATGCCTAGTGGACTCTTTCTCACATCACGTCACGCTTGACCCTGACCCCCTCCTGCCTTCCTCTTTCACATACAAAGACCCTCGTGATTCTGTTGGGCCCACCCGCATGGTCCAGGATAACCTCCCCGTCTCCGGGTCGGCTGGCGTGCTCACAGGTTCCAGGGATAAGAACGTGGACGCCTTTGGGGGCCGTTAATCTGCCTTCCATACAGTCCTGCTGCTCAGTGTGTAGGATGCCTCTCCACACAGCACAGATCCTGAGTAAATCAGAGCAGTGCCATTTGGAGCCCCCACGGGGTGGCTGCATTCGGGTCTGAGAAGCAGTCCTACCAGACTCTCCCACACACTGATGATGACTCTCTCTGCAAAGCCTGCCGCGCCGCTCGATGTGAATCGATGGCGACAGCGAAGTTAGAATAGATTCTGGGCCCCTGCCACCTCTTTCTGCTCCTCCGGTGAGCCTGTTTCTCGGACAACAGGGCCGTTTGACGCCCACCCAGGGACAGGCTTCCATCTGCCCCCTGCAAACTCCGGCAATAGGTCACTATTTATAATTATATAAGTAAGAGAAGGCCGCCCTCCCCAAAGAGCCCCTGTCTCCTATTTTTAGGCAGCCGGCCCTCCCTCCCATGGAGCTGCGTCCCTCTGTGGTCCGGGCTGTGGGCTCCAGCTACGGGTTAGGTTGGAGATGCTGGGGGCAGCCCGGGAGGGTGGGGGGCGTGAAGGATCTGGGGAACTTGGCCACCCGGAAGGATCCTTGTCCCAGGCAGTCGAGAGGACATGATTTCCCAGCTCGGGGTGGGGGGGCCCCCCCAAGTCTTGGAGATGAAGAGAGGAAGCAATGCTTGTAAAATGCTCTTCGAGACGGCAAAGGATTTAACAAGTGGAGGTAAGACCAAAGTTCGAGCGCGAGTCCCGTTTAATTGTCTCACGGGGTATTGCAGGGAGGAGAGCGAGGGAGAGACAGGAGAGTCAGCCTGGCTACAAGGTCCTGCTCTTGACCCCCAAGAAAGGGAATGGCCAGGTGTGGAGGC